CATTGACATGGGTGAGAGTGTATGCATGGTATGAAATCAATCACCACGTAGGTGGTTGAACGTGGACTCGGAAAAGTCGCACCAAGGTTCGGTTGAGTCGCACGAGAAATTAAATGGATAAATGTGTTGGGGACAGCACGAAGGGCTAGATTCTCCCTCGGGTGCAAGACCCGCTTACTTGGTTTATACACTTTCCGGCGGTGAAATTCCAAAAAAGTGTAACGGCGGAAACGGAGCCGCAGGTGGGATGTCCTGAAGATCCGTTGATGGTTGGTGTCCCATTGGTGTAATACCATAAATCATCTCCCCACAAAGACACAAGAAAATGAATTAATTAGCATTGAGTGTACATAACACCAATGATGGGGGCTTGGAATGCTCGGATACATACGCATGACATTGCATGTGTTATGGGAGCTCAGGATGGGGCTCGGGGTTGGTATTGCTTGCGTGAGTCTCATCTCATGGCATGACATGACCTATAACATTCAATCATAATAGACATATTTAAATGAATGTATCAAATGATTGTTGCATGTGACATTCCATATTCATTTAGGTTGAGAGGTATTCTCTATAGGCGTTACCCTATTGAGCGTTAGCTCACCCTTTATGGGAACATTTTTCAGGTATCGCACAGGCTTCCACCGAAGGCAAGGCCATGGGCCCACTTTGACGACAGAGCCGGTCTGTGGCTTTTATTTTGACATTGTAGTCCCTTGTTTATACTTACTTTTGGCCTTGTGTAATTTTTGTAACAAACATTGTTTATATTTACAAAGGCATGTATATGGGACTCTTTTGGGACATTTATTCTTTTACGAATAAATGTATGTACTGATAATGATTATGGTAGTATTCGAGACTATATAATTGTGAAATGGATAGATAGACCCGGTGTGGTCAATGTTGTACAGATTGCGTTTTGGGTAGAGCTCCTTGTACAAAGGAGACTCTGTCCAAATTTTGTTAAGTAATGGATCCCAAGAAAATGGGGCATAACAGTGTGGTATCAAATTACACGATATCCACCAGTATTACACAGGTCGATGGATAACCAATCGGATAATTACAGACACCCGGACTTTGGGGTGTCACAAATTCAACCCCAAATTGTGCATACTCCACTCCAAAATCAGAGAAATGGACACTCTATTTTCATTTTTTGACCATTTAAAGGTTCTGTAGAAATGGACGAGCAAGAACATGACATTGTTGTTCATTTTAAGAACTCTATTTTCACCATTAATGGGGTCGACCCTGATAGGTATTGCTGTATAGATATGATAATAGATGTTTTAGAAGTTACCAATGTTTTTATGGGTGATAGTTTATTGAATGTAATGATTGCTATTACAGTTTATAGGCCATATGGTAGTGGAAACTTGTACTTAATGGCGATGAACAGTTACATGAAATGTTTTCTTTGTATAGAAATTGTAAGAGATACATGTATTTGTGAATGTTGAAGTTGGGTCTCCGGTGGGACTCCCACCTCCTCCAGATGAAGGAATAGGTGAAGAGCCAAATTCAGATGAAATTGATGACAATGAACCTAATGGTGAAAATGATGTCAGGGATGCAAATATGCATGAAGTTGATGATGTAAATGGGGATGAACATATAGGTGTGGGTGGTGAAAATGATGACAATATTTATGGTTTCAATTCTGAAGATGAGGACTGTATAGTTGATGGTGATGATGTCCCCAATGTTAGGTATGCGTACAATGATGATACCATCAACACACAATTAGATGAAAACAGTGACGATGGGTTTTCAGGTTATCAATCAATGGATGAATGTTATGTTAGTAGTATAGATTCTGAGGAACTTAAGGCTGAAGTGAATGAAACACATAGAAGGGGTAGGAAAAGAAAGTTAAATGTCAGTGATACTTCAAAATTTAGAATGGAGTTTAATGTTCCTGAAGATGGAAACACTGATTGAGAC